CTCTGTCCGCCGCATCTTCATCCTGGTCTTGGACTCCAGACGGGGCATCATCATTCGTGTCGGCCAGCTGTGCTTGCAGGCTGTTCTGCTCTGGGTTTAGGGTTTAGGGTTTAGGGTTTAGGGATGTTTAGGGTTAGGGTTTATAGGGTGAGCCCTATAAACTCCAACACCCACAGACTGCAGACCGCACCGAACGACGTCTAAAATCTGAAATCCGATCGCGGGGCACCCACAACAAAAACACAGGACATGATTGATGAGATGCTTGTGGGGGCGAAATTTATCACAGAGTTGTGGAATCAGACAGGAAGGGGCCCCGAATTCTGTATGCCCCTGCATCTTGTCCCCCTCTTCGGTGGCCTTCCCGTCAGCATCTGCCAGCTCTGCATCAGTTGCCGGGTAGCAGGTGAACATAGCATGGCTTCCTTGCTTTCAGGACAGAGTCGAACTTGAAGGTTAAAGTGGGATTTACATAACAAGTAGAGCTGCTACGTTGGTACCCCACGCTACTTTCCTACTGAGGACGCTTTGGGAAACCATTCACAGATGCACAGTGATGGTATGGGGTATGGCACTTGTTTGGCTGAGAAAAAAAAGCACTCTGGGGATGTGCAGGGCCAGTACACTCAAGTGCTGCCGCGTGGGCTCCAGAGCAACAGGAATGGACCCCCTTAGCGCTAAACCCCTAAACCTTGATGGAACCCCTGATCACCTTCTTTTGTAGACTCTGCAAGGCAAAGTCCGTAAACCCTACTTTAGAGCGTCGACAAGCAGAATAGGCATTTGGGGAGCACATTCAAACACAATTACAATGAACCTTTCACTACTTATTCCGGAGTCTATATGTCTATATGGCAACAAGATCTCTGAACTATCCTACAACCAAGTTCCTGCAACCCCAAAAGCCGAAAAGCAAACCATTGCGAAGCCCAAAACCGTAGGCATCAGACCCTCGGGAGCTCTTGTGCTTTTCTTTTCTGTTCATTCCCACTCCTCCTGGGGAAATGAAACTCGAGTTCACGCTTCAAGCTATCCCTCAACCTTAACCCTAAACCCGAAACCGGTTTGGCCTATAAATCGGGTTCTGACATGAGAGGCTTAAGCCCTGCGCGGCCATCAGGACCTCTCAAGCATTGCCTGACGGTTTTTCTTCATGAAGTATTGAAGTATAGTCTAGTAATTCGTTGAAACGAACTACCCCTTTGTTTTCGCTTGCTTAGGGCCTTGAGGTTTTGCGTGCCCGGCGGCGTGTTCGAAGACACTGCATGCGCTCAGGAAACCTCAGGGATTCTGCAATCACGTTTAGGGTTTAGGGCGAAGTACTGATGTGCTCCTCTCCATCCCACACCCCGAAGCTGAAAGCCTAAACGCTGCATGATCCCCCAGAGTAGGGTGGGTTTAGCTGTTCGGTTTAGGGGTTCAGGGCTTCACTTTAAAGCTCACAGCGTTGAGCAAACGAGTGGAGGACTTATCCCACGGCTGAGCACAAACAAGGGAGCAACAAACAGGTCGAACAAGGTTTCGGTGTGTATTGGTCCTCCATGGACCAACAAAAACAGGAGACAACCTGAAATAGCAAGGCGGTGAGATTCTCGTACTGTAGGAGTAGTAGTAGTAGTAGT